GCTCCTGGCATTACTACAAGTAGCAAGAAGCTACTAGGGGCCATCGCTAGTAGGTTGGAGGCAATTGTTATTAGGATCAAACGTAACGACATGTCCTCCTCCCAGACAGCTGGTGTTTTGGCCGTGATCCGCAAGGAGTGGAACTTTAAGGAGCCATCCTGGGGCAAGTCTGCCAACAAAATAACTACTTACAGCACTGTGCTTGAAGGAAATATGGCACAAACGTTCGCTAACACGTTTGCCATCATTGCAAATTCGCAAACATGTGGCATTCTGCCCACCTGCCCTGTGAAGAGGCCATTCACCAAACGATGTCTTTCCAAAGGCTTCAAACCCTCAAAGGCCTGTGGCAACGTACACAACTGCAGAAACTATGCCAACATATGCCAACTAAATGTGCAATCTAGGGGTTTGCAGATTTTGGCATGCTTGAAAACTGATACAAGATATACAAGTACAAAAAGAACAAACAATCATGTTCTGAATGAATCTGGCGTTTTTGTTGTGTCTGACCTCAGAAACTACCAGGACGTGGAAGTGAGACTCGTCAGATTTGCGGCCATGCGACTCATTCTTCACCTGGCAAAGGATCAAGGATTGATTGGGGATTTTAACTAACAAATCCCAGAACATCAAAGGAGATCTTCGGGAAATCTATCAATGGAGACTTAGGTTGGAGGCCATCGCAAGTAGGTTGGAGGCCATCGCTCTTAGGCACAAACACTGAAGGCTCGATTGATTGCAACGGTCTCACTTTGGATCGATTTCATATCCCTTCAGGCTGTCCTCAAGGTGTTGTGGCCTCAATTCTGAATGGAGTTTATCCTCAATATGTTTCTGCCTTGGTATTCGTGCGCTTCCATTCTCACAGAATGAAGGAAGCTAATCAACACAACAGTTCTCATCAAATCTCCTCAAGCCAGTTTTCGGTGACTCATCATGAAGTGCTTCCAAGCACATGATTTTCACAATTCTCTCTACAGGTCTGTCACTCTATGCCTGAATTGAAACAGTTTCCTTTCAAAGCCTCGCACACAGGCCCATAGAAGGCAAAGGCTCTTGAATGCCTGGACATCTTCGCTAATGAAGTGGTGTCGTTTGGGCTCTGTGCATCCCTACTTCGATTTGGATGTGTCTCGACTGCCGAAACACAACACTGGCAAGTCTTTAGCCTTTGCTCCCGGTGGTACGCCGGCAAGTCCTTTTCGCCAGTGACATTGCGAGTCTGACGAAACCTAGCGTTTGTTTGGCAACGCTACGTGAACCCCAAGCAGAACAACACGAACCTGTCCACAATACTCAGCCTCTTGAACACGTCTGTGCTTAAACTCACTGCGGAACCCTGCAAAATTCACACGCTTGAATCTGAACACCCAGCGTATCACTATATGTGTCAATGAATTGTGATTAAAAACCGTCTCTTGACAATCTGGTCAAGAAGCAGCCCGTAACATCTGCGTTTGTTGAAACATATTGGCAACAGTTACTCAATTTGCAAATTCACAGGCTCTAATCGGCCCCTTTGTTACAAGTACAAATTTGCCAACTCTGATTGACCAAAAACGAATGGAAAAGTAGCAGTTTAGAGTTCACAGGCACCTGCGTTGTTTCGTGATGGGTTGAAAAAATATCCCGGCAAGAGACCCCGAACAGTGTGGGGTATAGTGCGAAAGAAGGGCAAATAAGCGAATGTCCGCACTCCACGGGACGCATACGAGAAGACACATGTGAACAAACACATGAGAGCACACATACGAGAACGCATAAAAGGGCGCACATGTAACACACAGACAGGTGAGAACACACATATGATAATACACATATGAGAGTACGCAAATCAGGGCACACATATAAGAGCACACATCTTACAATAAGAATCAATATGTGTGCACATCTTTGAAGATAACCAAGCAGGGACAAATCGTTTCATGGTCTGAGTTCTAGATATCTTTTTCTCCACGCTGCAAAATCACAGCGTGGGCTGCGCCTGCCACGAAATCTGCACATCGAAGCTGCCACAAAAAGTCGGCTTCAAACCAGAAAACGCGAGGGTTGCCTTGCGCCTGCCACGTGAGCACCAAGTGCAAAAGGCTCACGGCCACAACCAGAGCGCCGTCGAGGCAAGCACCCGCTCGGGAGAGGCAGTTTGTGTGAACTTGAGCAGTCGAAATGCACCTCGAAGATCTTGAGAGGCATGAATGTACCGTAAATAGTAACAAGAAGCTACTAGCAACAAGTGCCTTACTAGTAGTAACAAGAAGCTACTAGTAACAAGTGCCTTACTAGTAGTAACAAGAAGCTACTAGTAACAAGTGCCTTACTAGTAGTAACAAGAAGCTACTAGTAACAAGTGC